TGGCACTGGGGGCCAGTTTCATGGAAGACAGTTTTTCCATGGGTTGTGGGGGGGGTTGGGATGGTTTTGGGATGAAACTGTTCCACTTCAGATCATCAAGCATTAGATTCTCATAAAGAACACGCAACCTAGATCCTTTGCTTGCGTGGTTCACAATAGGGTTTACATTCCTATGAGAACCTAATGCTACTGCTGATCTCCTAGGAGGTGGCGCTTAGGTGGTCATGCATGCTCACCTGCTGTTCACTTCTTGCTGTTTGGCCCAATTCTTGATAGGTACCAGTCTATGGTCCGGGGGTTAGGGGCCCTGATTTACTGCACTTAAAGTGTAACTATACCCCTGATTCTCAAGGCAATTAACATAGTTCACTTTGTGGCCTCATGGATCTTTATTACTAGAGCCTGTGGTGGAATTTTAGGCATCAGCAGTAGGATATATGACCATGGAGGAAAGTATTTTCTGAAGGGGCAGAATGTGTTTTTGCTACTCTAACCTTCAAATCTAGCATTTTATTGCAGCTAGCAACTAGCATTGCCTATAAACAGGATTAGCTCTGGTAAACATAAATAATAAAGTGCCATTTTGTTTTCGAAGTCTAAACTTTGCCCTGCACCATGCAGAAGATATTTAAGAAATACTTATTGAATGTTAACTGAAAGCATAGATCACAAATTGGAGAGAATCAATAGGTATTATTGCATTGTTTGCCAGATTTCAGGTTTAGGCTGGTCATTTTTACCTCCTATGATTAGCTAATGTTTGTTCTAACCCTGTAATTCCATATACTATAATTCAAGTTTTCTAAAATTAGAATGATTAATAATTTTAAACCAAAAAGGAAAATGAGTGAATTTGGTTTAGTACCTGGAACCCTTGGAATGCTTAAAAGGAGCTATGTTCCAAATTAGAATACAAAATTTATATTTAGATTGAGTACATATTGTTAAGAGAACCTAGAGGAAGGACAGTGGACTCAAAACATATCTTTTATGGCAACAAATGGGATTCTTAGACTGAAAAGAGAATGGTATGTACATTTTAGAGGAGTAGTGCATGTCATGTAGTAGGTACTCAATAAATATTTTTTGGTCAGGCATGGGGGCTCACGCCTGTAATTCCAGCACTTTGGGAGGCTAAGGCAGGAGGATAGCTTAAACCTAAGAATTCAAGACAATCTGAACACCATGATAAGAACCCATCTATACAAAAAAATAAAAATAATAATAAATTAGCTGGGTATGGTGCCACATGCCTGTACTACCAGGTGCTCTGGAGGCTAAGGTGGAAGAATTGCTTGAGCTCGGGAGGTAGAGGCTGCAGTAAGTCATGACTGTACCATGGCTCTCTGGCCTAGGCAACAGAGAAGGATGTTATTTCAAAAAAAAAAAAAAAAGAAGAAAAGAAAAGAAAGAGAAAGAAAATATTTCTTGAATGAATACATTAGTTGAACATTTCATATTCAAATAGATTTACAGGATCAGTTAATGTCCATCAGTTGGAAGAACCCAGTGGCAGGAACTCCCAGTCCTTAGTATATGATTTGAGTGAAGATAAAAATGACACATCTAACAAAATGTTTCATGAAATAATCTAAAAATTCTTATCTTTATTGCTTACAATGACAAACCCAATCTAATCAGATAAAACTTGATAAAGATAATGCCTACAGCCCTATTTTTGGGTCTAAAAAAGTATAAATAAGGACATTTATAGGATGTAGCTCTCGGGAAATGTTTTGAAAAATGATGAAAGAATTAGGAATTTAGGTGATAGCCTACTCAGTATCATCCAACAATATGAAGTAACTCCAGCCTCCATTCTTGCATATTTTTAAACTCTCCACAAGAACTAAGGAGATGATCCCAATTATTATCTTCATTACATTAATTGAGTTTATTGTCAGTATCATGGAGGTGATGATTATATTTTACTATGTGCTAAAAACACCTCTAGTTAATCATGTTTTATAATTTTCAGGAATATTATCAGAGGAGAGCAATGAGGGTGGTGGAATTCTGCACTTGAGTATCAGGGAGTTGGTGAACGCAGCAATATAATTGTCATGCAGAAGAGAGCTTTTGACATGAGTCATGATTTCAAGTACAGGGAAATAGGACTAATGAGATAAGTTAGCAGGAAGCATATTTTGGTTCAATGTAGGGGAGAATTTTGTACTAATTCTAATAATTAGACCTGAATGTGTTGCCTTGGGAGGCAAGCAAGCATTCATTTGGCTACTAAACAGAACAGGGATTCATGTCTCAGAAGAGGAGGTTGAACCAATGACCTTCAATATCACTTTTTATTGTAAGATTCTGTGACATTTTGTGTGCAATAACAAGACATGTCTCTGTACAGGCTTTCCCAGCTATATTCCTTAGGGAATTTGAGGATAGGAGAACAAACATTGTAAATGATTGCGCATCCTGAAGGAAGAGGCAAGGGCATTTGTAGATATGTGTATATTTGTTGGGCTAGAGTGGGCATGTCCAAATTTCAGCTATGACTTACATGTACTAGTTGGTCACCTTCAATTAGTTATTTAACATTTCTGTACCTCAGTTTCCATTTACAGAAAGGAGATAGTATAGTATCTACCTAATAGCTTTGTAGTGACGAGTGAGCTAATTCATATGAAGCTTTTAGAATGGTACCTGGCTCATAGTGATTGTTAGATACTGTTATTATTATGATTGCAACCAAAATTAAATTAATGCTTCATAAAACCATCATAGAGTGAGGTGGTATATTTTATTCTGCATTACATGTATGTTTAGGTATTCTTTGGAATAAAATGTTATAGAGAAAGCATGTATATTGGACACAGGCAGGCTCTTTATGGGCTGCGTGGTCTTGGACAAGTCATTTGACCTCTGCTTTTCTTAATAACTCTCTAGTTATAGGGCTGCTGTAAAATTAAGTGAGTAATAGAAATAAATGTCAGCATAGTAATAAATGTCAGCTCCTATTGCCCATGGAAAGATAGTATTTCAATTTCAATCATTATTCAAATATATTGTTGTCTAGAGACCACAGCAGTGCAGGGTCGATTTAGTAACTTAGGGCTTGAAGCGACCTGAAACATCTTCCAGCAATTGCCCCTCATGTAGGAGATGGGAGTGTAGGTTTCTTCAGAGTTGAGAGACTTGCAGAAAGCCACATAGCTTCTTCCTATGAGGGAGAAGAGCTCTATGGTAGAGGGAAAGTAGAAGATAAGTAAACATTCAGAGTACATTCTTTGGCGAAAAAGTGTGCAACTTCTGAGCTCTTGTGCATGTTTAGCTGAGTGTGTTTGTGAATGAATGTGTGTGTGTCTGTATGTGAGTACATATGTATAGATGTACATATTCCTGTGTATGAATGAGAGTCTGTAAGTGAGCATGTGTTTGTAAGTAGGAATAAGTAGGAATTGTTAGTGACTGATCATCTGGCTAGGGTTAATTTCTTTCTTTTTTTTTTTTTGAGATGGAGTCTTGCTCTGTTGCCCAGACTGGAGTACAGTGGCTCGATCTTGGCTTACTGCAACCTTTGCCTCCTGGGTTTGAGACATTCTTCTGCCTCAGCCTCCTGAGTAGCTGGAACTACAAGTGTGCACTACCACACCCAGCTAATTTTTGTATTTTTAGTAGAGATGGAGTTTTGCCATATTGGCTAGGCTGGTCTCAAACTCCTGACCTTGTGATCCGCTTGCCTTGGCCTCCCAAAGTGCTGGGATCACAGGCATCAGCCACCGCACACAGCCTGCTAGTGGGACTTTTTATGTCACTTGTTGAAATGCAGCCCTTGGGTTGCTAATTCCTTTTCATTATCTCTAAGGCAGTATACCAAGAAAAGAAATAAAACAGTAAAATAAAAAAAAAAAAGAAAGAAAGACTGCCTTCTGCTGTTAGCTAGATGTTGACTTTCTGTTGGGTCTGGCACTTTGATTCCTAACGACTTCAGCATTTTTCTAAGGAAAATGAAGGTTCTAGCCTCTTACCTTCACCACCCTGTTTAAAGAAAGTTTCCTTCAATTACATCTTTAAAACCCAAGTTTCAGTTTTATTTGATGGCACTGTCTTCTGCAGACACTTTGGTTTGCTTTTGAAGATACTAAGATAGCCTGGAGCTCCGTGCCAATTTCCTCACTGGTTCTGGCCACTGGGGAAGTTATCTGAGACAAGGGCATCTGAAGTGACAGGAGCCTTGAACTGAGTTAAGCAACTGGAGACTCAGAGCAGTATCAAAACTGAGTTTTTGATTATGCATTTTAATTCTGATTTCTACAGCTTCCTCATGGTTGCCCGCCCCCAAATATTCTACAACACTGAACTGTACTATTCTGAGTCGTACTTAACACTTAAGAAGTTTTAGCATTTGCTTCATTAACATAATTGTTAGAAAGTGCAGATGAGATTTTAAAAAGTAGTTTAAGATCAAGAGCATGTGCTTTTTGTTTTTCTTTAGAGAGTTACATTGCTGATATTATTTATGTTCAAATTATTGACTACTTTGCTGCTTGTATAAAAAATGGCTGCTAAATTTTATGTTTTTTGATCTTTGTTTTTGTGGATGCAGGAAAATCATTAAGAGCTCAATCACACTTATTGGCATAATATTTGTTATTTGTACACTCTAAAAAAGAAACATTCCTTTGAGGATTAAGCAGAACCACGGTCCTGTCATCATGTATAGAATAATACTTGTCTGAGGGCATGCTGCTAATGAAACGTTTATGTATAACTTTGTGTAAAGGAAGTTTTTAAGTTCTGAAACTGAGTAGCATGTAATTGCCTGTAATCTCTAGGCTGATATTTTACTGTGGCATTTCTTTGCTTCTCACTCTAATAAAATATTAACATGGTAAACTAATTTTTTCTGTCAGAAACTAGTTGTTCAGCATAATAACCCTTTTCTTCATTTGATAATGTGTCATTTAACTGGGTAGAACTGTCTGAAAATTATGTCATATTCCTTCCTGTTTTCATCTCTACTCTTGCTTTCTGGTTGCCCATTCTAGCAATACAAGACCAAGTCAAGCTACAAGGCTTTTGCAGCAATCCCTACAAACACATTGCTTTTGGAACAGAAGGTCAGTGTTGGCTCAAAAACAGTGAATTTTACATTTCTAATGTGATTTTTAAAATGTTTTCTAAAATTTCTGTTGGGAAGATTTGTGTTTTAAAGTTCTGCCTTTACTAAAATAACATTCTGCTCTTAGTTTAGGATGATGTGATGAAAACATTTTGATGAATATAATTGGAGACATTACTGGTTATCAATAGAGGCTGAGTATGAGTCTAGAGATGTTTAGTTCACTGTCAAGCAGCTTTGGGAAGCTTGATTCAGATTTAGATAGATCCCTGTTCTTTGGAATTTTAAATAATTATTATATTCAAGAACTTTCATATCTATCCACATTGATTGAAAGAATTGAGGTGAAATGGAATTATTTGTGAACAGTTGGCCACATTGGTTGTTGACTGGTCCAAACTTGGTGACTAAGCAGTAGCTTCCACCATTGTACTATACTGATACTCACGATGTTATAGCTGAGTTTTCAACTTAGCCTCATAGATTTCATTGTGAACTAAACCTCTTCATCCATTCTTGCCAGCCAGTGATCCTTCTTTCATGAATGGAAGGGAAGATTGAGATGACTCTCAATGACCCAACTGCTTTCACATGGCTCCAGGAGTTTTTTGCTTTGCTATTAAGGGTCACTAATAATAAAATTATCAGTTGCTACATAAGTAGGTACATTAAATTAAATCCTCTTGTTTAATAAATATATTGCACATGTTTAAATGAAAGTACAATAGAACACTGATATCAGAATCAAAGTGAAATGAGCTACCAAGACTGTGAAATTATTCACTTCATATTTTATATTTATGATTATGTATTTAGTCAATTCATTTCTCAGTGTACTACAACCTTTTTTTTCTGTGTAATTATAATGTTTCAAAGACCGTTACTATAATTTATCAAAATGTTGTTTGTGAGCCAGGTGGTATTTTGGTCCCTGGTTTATAAATCTACATTCTTATTCTATTAGCATGATCTGGGGGTAAAACCTTTGTAAGATCTCTTGTCTAATAAGTAGGAATTGTTAGTGGAATAAGTAATGTACATTACTACTGGACTAGTTACTACCAGTAATTGGTGGAGATCAATTCCAAATTATACATAGGTGGTGTCCAATTTGTGTTCAGTATGTGTAAGTGCTTTGAACTGGTGGTTCACTAGGCTGCAGGAAAATCTGCAGCTTTTTCTCTAGCATCAATCCTGAATTTCTGCACCTTATTGCCTGTTAAAAGATGAGACAGGACTAAAACATGGATTTCAGGAGACTTCAGGAAGATGTGGAAAGGGACACTTTCCCATTGTCCCTTATTCTACACCCTAGGGCCATAATGGTGGGAGATGGTGGCAGGGTTCCCACACAACAGACTCTCTGCCTATTTTGGATGGCTGTTTCTGGAATCTGGTCACAAGTGCATGCTTTCACAGATACAGAAGAATCACTATCCATCAGCAGTGAGGCACAGAGGAGTTGAGGAGCCTGCTCTCATCTTTGTCCTTCCCTCATGCTTGTCTCACCTCATCTAGGCACATTCTCCTGGAACTATGTGTGGCTACTATGTTAATTTCCTGTTTAGAAAAATGACAGCTAATTCTTTCTGAAAATCTTTTATGAGATAAGACTAGATGTCAGTACTGTTTCCAGAGTCTCTGTCTATTATGTTTCCAAAATTCTCTTCCAATTAACTGAATTATAGAGTTTATAATGTATTCATTAGTCAATAAAAATGAAGAATCATTAGTTCAATTTCCAATTTCATTACAATCCATTTCATAAATATGTATGGTGGTATTGATGTGTATTTAGCCTATTATACAAGTTCATATTGAATGGCTTTATGTTTTTAATTTTAAATAAAACATTCTTTAGGAAAATTATTACTTCTGTTTTTCATACAAAAAGTATAAATATATCTAAATTTAACATAATGTTATTGTAGAGGGTGCTGGATTATTGTATTAGTACTAGCAGAGGTTATTGTCTCTTGGCCAATATGAATTGGTTTTGAACCATAAATATTTAATTCATTCAAAGGTCACAGATGTGATGTGTATTTTTTTTCTTTAGGTCCTTTAAATTATTCCACATATTTTATGCTGGCTTTCCCATTATGTGTTCCTCAATAAGAAATTTTACTATTTAAGAATTTTAAAATATCAAAGTCTTATCTAAAGTTTTTATGAGTTACCTCCATTTTCAATAACATTTCTTGAATGATGTTGTATTGCTTCTTTCAGTATTACTGTTTTAAAATGTAAATCTGGCAATTTAGTCCTTTATTCCCCTCTGTTTATACAATAGACTTTATCTTATGCCATTGATATCAAAGAGATTTATTTCTGAACTGAGTGGGAAAATTAGGACTATAATCTTCAAGAACTCATCTATTTCTGGAAGAATAAAAATATTGGAATCTTTTAAATCATAGAAGCTGTTCTGAGATCCCTTTGAGATCACACAGAACACCACAATTCAGGGATAGGATAATGCTGTAGACTCATTATAATACTTGGGTAGGGTCCATGCTGTAGAATGCCTTGAAGCTGGAGCTAACAAAATAATTCATGGTCTTAGCTATTTCAACAATTAATTATCTCTCCAACCAGATTATACCCATGGTGGGTATCTTATGCCACATTTTGTTCTACAGCATATAGTATAATTAATGAGTACCCAGATTTACTTTTTTAAAAAATGCTATTTTTTAAAGCAAGATTTTCTCCAAATTGAAATACAGGCACCCCTTGCAGTGAGACATTAAGCTCTCATTGAATTACTGGATTGTTTCCAGCTTTAATCACCCCTGGATGAGGCCCATCATTTTTAAAAGAGTACACTTTGTTGGCAGGGAGCATGAGGTTTTGGGTTCCTCTGTAATTTATTTTCTGAAACAAAATTTAAATTTATAGCTTATTCCACATTTTATCATTTTTGTCCTGTGAACCTTTAGGAAGGAAGCATTTGTAGCTTAGGTTTTAAATAAGGAGTTACAGGGAGAGATAAATGTAAGGTGTGATTTTTATTGTGTTGGCTTCATCAGGGTCTTTGGCTTAATTTCCTGCCAATAATCATTGTCTCCAAGAATGACAGAAGGATGAAATACTAATGATTATAAAGTAATCAGATTACCTTATATTGTGACTGTCCATAGACTTTGTTACAATATGTTCAACAATGTACTGAGGTCTATAGATAAAATAACTTTGATATAGACTTTATTTTTAGTCTTTTTATTAGTCTGTTTTCACTCTGCTGATAAAGAGGTTTAATTGGGCCTACAGTTCCACATGGCTGGGGACATCAAAATTATGGTGGGAGGTGAAAAGCACTTCTTACATGGTGGCAGCAAGAGAAAATGAGGAAGAAGCAAAAGCAGAAACCCCTGATAAACCCATCAGATCTCTGAGACTTACTCATTATCATGAAGATAACATTGGAAAGACCAGGCCCCCATAATTCAATTACTTCTCCCTGGGTCTCTCCCACAACACATGGGAATTCTCTGAAATACAACTCAAGTTGAGATTTGGGTGGGGACCATATCAGTCTTGATGTGTATATTGCTGTCTTTCTCAGAGAGTGTTAAAGATTTCTCTTTCATTGACTAGTTTTCTTCTTATCATCTGAGTCTGAGAGCAATAGGCAAAAAGTTAAACAGTTAGGCACATATTAATATTCCAAGTAAACAGATTATTATTTTTATCATGCAGTTGTCTCAAGGAAGAGAGAATGAAGAAATATTTCCATCAAATCAAATAATAGGCATCTTTATTGTCTTACCAATATTTTTCCATGAAAATAAAAGTTTTTTTCCTTGAATGTAGTTTAAATTTTCTGTTTCCCTCCTCGTATTTCTGAGGATAAAATTAGGGCTGGGGCTAGGTACAGGGTTCTTAACAAATGGCCTTGCTATCTGCCATTTTCATGATATGTTTAATTCATAAGAGGTGTGTACTTGACAGAAGAATGCTGGAGCAGCTCAGCTGTATATGTAGCAAAAGATAATTACAGGTTTAATCCTTTAAATGAAAAGTGATAGGATAAACATATTTTTTTCTGGTGCAGGGAATATAAAATTAGTTACTTGAACAGCTAATAAAAATGATGGCATAAAAAGAGAAAGGCAAAATTTTGATATATCCTGTCAGCTGCCAAGTCTATTTATTCTACGTTGCCTCTTTGATTTTTTTGTTTCATTTTTTTCTGAGAAGGGGTCTTGCTATTTTGCCCAGGCTAGATTTGAACTCCTAGCCTCTAGCAATCCTCTTGCCTCAGCCTCTTGAGTAGCTGGGACTATAGGTATGCACCACCACACCCAGCTTAGTTGCCTATTTAATTTTTTAAAGCATGAGTTGGTAGACTCTAATCTCATTAAACATATGTCCTTAGGTGAGAGTATTTTAAAATATCTTTATTTCTTGGCCACATATAGTGGCTCATGCCTGTAATCCCACACTTGGGGAGGTTGAAATGGGTGGATTACCTGAGGTCAGGCGTTCGAAATCAGCCTGGCCAACATGGTGAAACCCTGTTTCTACTGGAAATAAAAAAAAAGTTTATCTGGGTGTGGTGGCAGGAGCCTGTAATCACAGCTACTCTGGAGGCTGAGGCAGGAGAATCACTTGAATCTGGGAGTCAGAGGTTGCAGTGAGCTGAGATTGTACCACTGCACTCCAGCCTGGGTGACAGTGAGACTCGGTCTCAAACAAAAAGAATCCTTTTATGTCTTAAAAATTTAACAAAACCTTATTACTAATTTAGCACATGGTCTATATTAGAGAAACATTGCTTGATTTAGATTTTAATACAAGAGGCAAATGTGTTTCCAATTTCTTTAACAGTAGAGAAGAGCCCAGGACTCAAATCTATGGTAACTAGTTCTCAGGTAGTTGTCTAATATGTGCATAATTTTAAAGAAATACTTATCAAATTGCATTTAATCATGCATATTTATTGCTTTCCTTCCCTATCTTGAACTTTTTGAGGAGATAGATATGCTATATTCT